TATGGCAGCTCCTCCGTGACATGCCAGACATGTGTCAAAAAGCGTACAGTAGCATCAGCAGCAGCACCAGCAGCAGCATTGTAGACCAGAGAGAGTACTACCCCACATTGTGTAACCGCTTCCTTATCTAAGTTTGGTTATCTCGGCCACTGCTCGATACATGGCAGCTAATGCTATCACACGACACGCTGACGCAACAGTCCCGCCTTGGCGAGCACCCACACAAGTCTAAATGCTAAAACTAACAACAAACAATACGCTTTGATAAGGTTAACCTATCACAGCGCAGGCAGAGAGCTCAGCGATGTGCAATTATTGTGGGCATCACTTGGCCTATAAAGACTATTCCCCTTGGAGCAGGTGTTTGCAGAAAGCGGCAGAGGAGCTTGTTGACAACTGTTCACGCTAATTGCTTTCACACCGGAGAGAGAGAGAGAGAGAGAGATCTATTAAGGAAATATGCAGGAAGCCTCCACACAATGTCACGACTACATGACTCAGGCCTCCGTCAACATGGTCACACTTCAAAACACGTCCACGCACTCCAAACTTGTATTTACCGAGTGTGTTTTTAAGTTATTAATATGCCAGAGGGCGGCCATCACTGGTATGAAATCTCTCGCAATTATTTATCTTTGCGCTTTTTTAGTGGGCGACAGTGGCTCAGTTGATGGAGCCTGAAGGTCGTGGGTTCGAGTCCCCCACCCCGAGACCTTCTCCACCGACTCCTCCTGCTTTCGTTGTGTCCTTGGTCAAGACACTTTACCCACTTTGCCTATAAGGAGCGCGGAAGGAATGTACGCTGAATGGCTTGATGTGTACATGTGTAATTGTCGAACTGAAACTTCCTCACTATGGCACAAATGAAGGTTTATCTTTCCTTAAGCTTTGCACAATCATAAAAAAGTGTGTTTTGCTGTGTTTGTGTTCGCTCCAGCCTTGAAGGACCGTTTGTTGTGTCTGTTCATGGTGAAACAGAACAAAAGAGAGAAAAAAATTGAAGGATGTAAAGTTTTGATTTAAGAAGTAAGAAAAATAATGCAATTTAGTAATCAAAATAGACAATGTAATGTAATGTGTAATGTGTCTCCAAATGACAATATATTCTGAGAAATACCTTATTGTTTTACAGTGTGGATTAAGGGTAATCAAAAAATATATTGAGAATCCATTAGATTTCCAATAAATTATGAATCAATCACTAAAGTAACACTATTTTAATAAGCAATTAGTTGATTTCATGAAGAAACATTGAAATGAGGAAAGAAATATACACTGCAAAAAGTCTATTATTATTACAGGACTGAGACGGGATGTTTTAGACAGAAGGGGCGGAGTTTCTGCCGTTGTTTGTATCAGGAGAAGTTCCAAAAGAATATATTATCTTAATGTATTTTCATCTTGTTTGATGTCTGCTTTTTGCTTTTGAGTATCACTTAATCCTACTGTCCATGTGGGCAACGATGTCACTGAACTTGGTACAGCCCCATTATCCAAAGATCAAAAGATAATAGAATAATTGAGTAATAGCCTGACATTTGCAATCATTTGCCAAATGCAGCTCGCGGAAATTCAATTTGGAAGACGTCAGCCAAAGCTACCCCCTCCAGGCCGGCCTCGCATCCCCAGCCTATCGCACAGCAAACGCCACTTCCAATCAATCCGTGACGGCCAGGCCAGCCGCTTAAAAGCAGAGAAACTCCCACTTCACGGCCTTCTCGAAGCCTTGCAACCACCGCCTCCCCTCCTCCTCCTCTTCACCCTGCCTCCAACCTGTTCCTGCTGCCAAATGCCGCCACCAGTGCCTAGGTCCCGGGGGATTGTGCGCACACTCTCGCAGGAGCCTCGCTGACTGAACGCCGCACCGGGGCCTAGGGCGCCAAACTACCTCTCAATAAAATACTTCAAAGGCATTCTTGTTTCCTCGTCTCTCCAGATTGAATTACTGTCCCAAAGAACTATTTCAAAAAATACATTCAAAGTGCACTACAAGTCTTAACAAACCTACATATTTTGGCTCAGAATTGGTCAGATAAATGGGGATTCTGAATCTAATGTGTAAACATTTCCACAAATGAGGACGTTTCAGTGTCATTTACAACACTGAATATACTTTATAGATTTGTTGTTATAAATAGTTACACGGTGCTAGTTCCAAGCATTTTTCTCAGAATAGTAGCTCCAGCCTTGAGTGTGAAAAAATCCACGTGTCTTTGTTAGCAGCATTAGTAATAGGAAGAGACTGAAAAGGATGAAAAGGCGACCGTGACTCGGGCTTTTAGTTCACTCCACTGGCTTTCTGCAAGTGAAGGACATTACTGAAAAGAAAACAGTCTGCACTTAATGAGCCACTTACAAGTCTAACCTCCCCATTCTGTTCCACTGTTTATATTGTAAACATCAGTCAGACATGCTCCGCTTCTCCGATACAGCTCACTGGAGCCAAGAGCTGGAATATAGTTATGTCATTAAAACGGTTGGATTTTTTTTTATTACATCAAATAACCAGTGTATAAATGGTTTACCTATACCTTTTACTAAAATACAATTAAGGTGATACAAAAATATATATATAATTGGAACAGGTATTATCCCATAATAGTCATAAAAATATGTCTTAAGCCTGTTTAGGAACACATATTGCATTTATAGTTGGAGTGCCGACATTTGAAACCCCCCGAAAATAAGTAAGTAAGTAAGTAATCTTTCTTTATATACCGCCTTTCACAGACCAAAGTCACAAAGCAGTTTACAATTGTTATTTTTTTAAATAAATAACTATTCAATGTAATTTGTTCTTGTATAGCCCTAAATCACAACAGTAGTTATCCAAGAGGACTTTACAAAACCAACGCAGATGAATTCACCAACGCAGATCAGAAAATCAAACAGTTGCACAGGAAAATAAGGCTAAAATCCATGTAAGTAGAGCTACTTACATGGACTTACATGGACTTACATATGAGTTATTTGTTTACGCATTGCATGTATATTTGGCGGAACCTTTGCACGGAGCCGAGTCAAATCCAATTCACCGAACGAAAGAGAGAAAGAGCATCTTAATCACGCCATAATTACATCCTGTCATTCAGCGCTATGAAAACAGCGCGACAGAAAGATGGAAGACGGCTCTGGACGAACGGCGAGGAAATTGATATATGTATCTACACCATGAGCTCCTCTCGTGCTTTTATGTGACTTAATATGTGTCAGCTATGTGCGACCGGCGGGACAATTCTTTATGAGCTACGGCGCCTGACAACAAAGGCCCTCTTATTGTAAAGGTTTCACTGCTCAGCTGCATTCACCGCACCAAAAAAAAAAAGATAGACAGCGTTTTGAAAAAGGACTGAAGGGCCAGTATTTTGAAGAGTGTTCTATAACGGAGCAGGCAGGGAGCTATAAAAAGAAAAAAAGCTGGTAACATCGCATACGTCTCTGTGTCGGCTGTCAAAGGTTTATTCGCTCTTTTCAGACTTTTGCTTGAATTCATTTCCCCCGTAGAGCGAGATCCAAAAGATTGTGGCAGCATTTTGTGGTGTATGGGTTATAGTGTCACTGCATTTCCTATCAGGTCAGTTTTATTCATGGCTGGGCGACCGAGGGGTTAGGGGAGAGATAGGGCTGCATGGAGTTGGGCAAATATATACGGTTGGGATATTTTGGACCAACGTTGCGATTTTCAATATAATGTATGTTTAAAAGCTCTAATTGTGAGTACAAAAAATAACTTCATAAAAGGTACATTTAGTTCTTGTGAAATCGAAGTCTTGAGATAAGTAATTTCTATCTTTTCTTACATATTTGTGCTTGTAGAAATTATAAATGGGAAAATAATGATTTTGCCCGACAACAAGGAAAGACACCATGGACAAATCTTTGAAAACGTATCTCAAATAAATGTATATTTTTCCCAACGTATCCAATTTTTGTTTGCAATTTTTTTTTTTAAGATGCAGTCAGTGATTTTTTCCAGATGCATTTTTTTAAATATTGTGGGAAAACGTCCCTAAACCATAAAAGTAGTCAAGTTATCATGTGTTTTCAAATAGAATTGGAATTGACCAGATGCCTATAGTCTCCAAAAATTATAAAAAAATATTTTGGAGCGGACCGATTAAAAATAAACCATTGTAATTCGTTCATCCCCAACGAACCAATGGGATGTGTTTACCTCTTTCACCCTCTTCCTGTTTCTCGCCAGTGCGTACCCCTGAGTTATCGGATTATTTTCCAAAACTTAAAATGGCTGAACAGAAAAGGCCAATTTCACGTTTGCCGCCCACTCTCTCTGTTAGTAGCTAATAAGTAGCTAAACTGTATTCCATTGTCGTGCACCTGATAACAGATGGGAACTGGCCATTTAACGTACGACCCAGCCCACGTCTGTATATTATTCCATAGATAGATGGATAAATAAAAGAAAAAATTCAACTCTGGTGGATGATCTATATTTGAATATTTCCTTATTAGCATTAGCTTTAAGCCAGCTTCCAATGGATTACCCCTAAAGCTTGAGTAGAGAAATAGAAATCTGTGCTTTATATGTGGTCCGTGTACGTCGCGGCCATTCTATTTTTGATTAGGAAAGAAAATACAAAAAACGAATATTGGCCGTTTCCCGTTTTCCGTTTTCAAAATAAAATGTAGAAAACGAGAATTTAATCCGTTTTTCGATTTTGTGTTTTAAAATTAAAAAACGGATAACGAAAAACAGGTCATAATCCGTTTTTCCATTACACATTTACACAAGAAACACCAACATCGAAAAACCACGGCAAAAATTTGATTTTCCATTCTTGATCTTATTTTGAAGCTGACCCGGAAGCTGTTAACCATGCCTACCACTATGCCACTAAGCGGCCGAAGTCACTCTACTTTGTGAGAAGACGTCAGCTGTTACAGTGGCTAACTAATTTGTCTTTTTTTCTACTTTAATAAGTTTTCAAATGGCCTTAAATAGTTTCGCCGACTTTATTATAGAGAGAAGGATGAGTGGTATGGCTTGTGGTGAGATCGCCAACGCGCTAACTGCACAGTTTGGTCCAACTGTGGGTTTCTCAGAGCGAAATGTGAGAAGATGGTGCTTTGAACGTGGCCTAAATCAGGACATCTGTCCTGACAATCGGCTTGAACTTGAAGTCTCAAAAGGAATCGCAGAGGTATGTCCAGGTGTTTGGTTAATTTTATTTTTTTTTGTCGCCGGCACAAATGTATGCTAATTATGTATAGTGGTGCAGAGGTGACTTCGTTAATAGCCTTCGGGAAAATCCACTGTTACCATGGAGATCCGCCATGTTTGCAGCTGTTGGCATATTATCCATAGACTAACAGTAGCTAAAAAGTGGAAAGAAAATCTGTGGAACAGCTACTGGTAAACACATCTATCTCACTGTGGTGTCCAGGTGTTTTAATGTGAACAATTACTCCAGTATTGTACCTTTTAAAAATCTCCATTAGTTTATTATTGCTGCTAATCCCACTATTCTTAGCGATATGACATCACATTCCTGAACTCTATAGCTGTAAACTGGACAAGAAATGCTAAAGGTAAAGCTAAAGGCTTACCTTATAATAGTCAAAACAAAATTGTTACTAACATTGTCAATAGTTATTGCAAATGGCCAGCAATCATTTCATGCACAGTTGTTATTTAATGTAATTTTGGTGAAAAATAAGTCCCATACCTCTGATTATTGTAGTAAATGTATACTGCACAACATCGCCTCCTCCTGGGTATTTTAGAAACAAAACACACAATTTACAATGTATGTTTATAATATGAAAATGTTATTTCTTGCAGACTGGATCATCATTTGGCCGCAAAATGATGACCGGATACTTGTCTGCAAAAGGCATTAAAGCCTCTGAGGGTAGGGTGGGGAAGATATTAAGGTCTGTAAATGAACCTTACCTCGTGGCACGCCAACAGGTAAGAAAAGCACATTTCACAATTCGCACATATATTACAAATTAAGAAAAAATAAATAAATACTGTGTTTTGTTTTGGTTCTAGGGTGCCCGCAATTTAAACCCTGTCCCATATAATGCTGAGTATATGGGACACAAGTTACATATGGATCAAAATGAAAAACTGGTAATGTTTGGTGTCACACATGTTATGGCCATAGATGGTTACAGCAAGAAGGTTGTAGGCTATTCTACAATGCCAATAAAAAACAACCTCACCATTTATGAGGAGGTGTACAGGTAATATATAACATAGTTATTTACCCATTATTATTATTATGTGAAAATAACCCAATAAAAACGTGTTGCTGTTTTTGATCTGCCTTAGACATGCAGTGCAACAGTATGGTATCTGGGACCAAGTAAGGGTTGATTGTGGGAAGGAGTTTTATCTGTCACTGTTTATGCAAGAAAAACTGGCACACCACAGACACAATCAACAAAGGCAACCCTATGTTCAAACGCCTTCCACTAAGGTAAGCATTCACTTTTTACTCTAGGGGATAATTTCTCAAGACAAGTGCTAATAGTGAAGAATAAAGAATAGAAACAAGAATAAAGCAATTTGTGGGTATGTTGCGATTAATTTACCATCTGAAATTGACTATGTTAGTCATAGGCCCCAAATCAAATGTAAATGAGAGAATGCTGCATGACCAAAAACTGTGCAATTGACTGTTGTTGATTCACTTTTGCACATGCTAGATATTTTACACATTGGCCCTATGTGTATTAATGTTTTATCACTCTCTACAAATCTTTCTGTATTGGGTTTTCAAACCATTCACACCAAGTAGGCCTACTTAATAAAATATCAGACCTTAGAGCGACAAGGCCTAGCTCAACATCAAATTATGACTACACATGGTCTAAAATGGGTCTGATATTACTCAAAATTGTACTAAATAAAGTGTAAACTAATTATTACTAAAGAATCAATATAAATGACTATGATCTAAACTTGTTGACTCTGAATAAAACTGTAAGAAGTGGATCATGTGCCATTTAGAGAACCAATGCTCTAGAGTAACATTCTCTCGCTGTTTTACAGAACCATGTCATTGAACGTATGTGGCCAGAAGTGAATGCACGGGTGAACTACCCATTGAAGACGGCCTTGATTCAGCTGGTTGACAGTGAGGAACTTGACATGGAAGACAACGTATCCCGGTTTTGTGTGTCAAACCTGACCTGCCAGTTAGCTGGGATTGGCATCAACAATGTCATAAAGGCCTGGAACGCACATAGGATCCCAGGTGTGTTATAAGCGTCATTGTCTGTATTAACCATTTAAAGATGCATTTCCCTGCATAAATTGAAATGCAAACACAGAAAAAATAACTTTCATTACTCAAGACTTTTGCAATGTAATAGTAAAAATCAATTAACTATAAAGTAAATGTATGTACTTTTCTTTAGAGGGTCTGTACTTGTAATTTTTTTTACTCTATTACTTTTTAAGAGTAAATAAATTACCCAAAATTGTTCCCCAAAATGATTTGAACAAATTTGTTCTGTCTATCAGAAAGTCTAGCAAATGGTTATGTTCTTTCAGTTAATAATTTTAAGTGTATTGCAGTAAAATGTGACCATTATTATCTGTACTTTTACTTACAAAATTAAGTACTTAGACCTTGACCACCATACTTCACTTGTCATCTTTGTACTTAATGAGTTTATCTTTTCATATTTTGATTACTGATTTGCATTTCATCTGTGTTCTAGGAAAAGGAATCCCGGATGAGCTTGCTTCTGGAGGGTGTCCTGTGAGAGTCAACCAAGATCAGCTTCCTGATGCAAATGTTGCTGCTGATTGGTATCGTCAGGAAACTGGGTCTGAACTGACAAGAGAATCTGTTTTTGGAGCTGATCCATTTCTCTCCGAAGAAGCCAGAGTACAGTGTGAAATAGAGTTCTCCCATGTTAATTTATTGTATGTCTTTGAAAATGTGGTTAATCATAACTCTGATCCATTTAAAGATGCTATGAGCTCATTGATTAACACAACAAGAAGATTTTGCTAACCTGGGTCAAGTTCTTCCAATTGGGTTGTTAAAGCATGTTCAGCATTGACCTAGACTTTAGCTACCTAAATCTATTGAATAATTAGTCTGCAATTGTATAATACTAAAGAGCGCACTGGATATATATATGGCATTGTCATCTTAGAATAGGCATGTGCTACTGTCAAAGGGAAAAAATTAGGGCCCACAATTCATGCCTGGGCACAAATGCCTAGTGTTTGTACTCTCTTTACAACTTACTTTTGATAAATAAAGCTTTTATGATCATCGTGTGTTGTTGCAAAACGTTTATTAGCCATAAACATGACATTTCCACCTAAAAGGCATGGAATACATTTTACTGGAACTTTGCAAAAATAGTAATTCAAATACAGTAGTATAGATTCAAAGCAGTGAACAGTATTATACTGTTCACTGTTTATACTGTATAAACACAATGTACTGAACAATAAAACGCATCAGCTCATGCTCAAAAATCAATGATCATTGCTAACCTCAAGATGATTTGTTTTTAACTGAACTTTTAATTTGGGCTTATCAACTTATTTTCAGTTTAATTACTGAAAAGGCCCAAAACATCACCAAGACCTTTTAGCTCATGTACATTTTGTTGGAAGTCTCCCACCCTACATTTCAGGCAATGTGTTGACGTCAGTAGCCACTGGGTCACACATTTCTTGCAGCCAACAAGGGAATTACAACAAGTTGATGCCATTGGCTCTGAAAGTAATCCTGTGAAGTGTAAACACATTAAACTGATTATTTCACCCACAATACAGTGAGATTAGATGATCATCATTAACATACATACCTTTACACACAAGACAGTTGAGAGAGTCTCTGGCAAGAGTAAGAGTCGCTTCCTGAGCTCCTCTCTTTGCTATGTCCGATAGCACACGGATGGCCTCTGTAATATCTGGCAAACTCTCCGCTGCGTGTTTGAGATCGTCTATTTTTTCAATTACTCCATTAAGATTGCATGTTTCTTCTGATCGTCTGCAATAACAATTGTTTTGACAAACCAGTCAATCTCAAAAAAATTAACATACCTTGTTTTGTTCTTCCTCCCACTTCTCCACTCGAGGAACTCCTCATTGTAAAGAGCATATACTTTCCTTGAGTTTTGTTTCCAGTAATTAGAACCTTAAAAAAAAATAGCATAAATCAAAATCCTCTTCAACATTCCTGATATGATTTTTAATGGATAAGAGTGCAACTCACTTCTTGTTGCATGTGAATCAATTATTTCATTTCCTTGACTGTCAGTAAGTGTAAGAGAGTCCTCACAGCCCAAGGCCTCCTTCACTTTCGCAGTTATGTGGTCCACTGTAGCCTCAGATTCAGTGAATCGAATTACCACCGTCCTGGATGAAGTGATCTTGCCAGACATAACCTCACCTATATGAACTGCCCTTGGGGAACATAGCAAGTAATTGTAATTTATGGAATGAGCTGAAAATGTAATGAAAGAGTCAAACTAACCTTTGGAAATCCTTAGCAGGAAACATGTTGGGGCGACTTTGTCGAGATGTTCCAGGTTGGGACACCCCAGTGGAGGCAGGAGCAGATGCTCTACGCATGAAGGAAAAAGGAACTGCTGGTTGAGCACCATGTTGACCACCCACAGACTGCGCATGAATCGGGTCCCCGTGCACTTCATAATGCCCTCGATGGGAAAGGTTAATGTACAAAAAATTCCCAGAAGATTCTGGAAAAATTGCTGTGTTTGCATCATCAGTTATGTATAAGGTATTGGCATTGACCTGTTGAAACAGATTAACGATTATGTTAACAATATCAACACTCACAAAATAAAATTCATTATGAAGAGGAGAGCAGATTAATTAAAGATTACAAGATATAGAATAATATTAATGTATATCAGCGGACACCATTAGCCTTTTTAGATGGCTAACCGTTCACTAGCATAAACACAGTAGGTTTTGCTATTTAAATTTATAAACTTACCTGGAAAATGGTGCCAATCTTATCCACTGTCATGTCGACATCTTTTAAAGTAACCCGTTTGCTGTCTCGATACAAAACAAAAGTTTTCTCCAACTCTGGTATCTCCATTATCATTCAAAAAACTGGAAAACTCTGACTGTGCGGGAAAGCCTCAACAGCTTCCGGGTCAGCTTCAAAATAAGATCAAGAATGGAAAATCAAATTTTTGCCGTGGTTTTTCGATGTTGGTGTTTCTTGTGTAAATGTGTAATGGAAAAACGGATTATGACCTGTTTTTCGTTATCCGTTTTTTAATTTTAAAACACAAAATCGAAAAACGGATTAAATTCTCGTTTTCTACATTTTATTTTGAAAACGGAAAACGGGAAACGGCCAATATTCGTTTTTTGTATTTTCTTTCCTAATCAAAAATAGAATGGCCGCGACGTACACGGACCATATGTGGTCATAATCCGTTCTTCCATTACACATTTACACAAGAAACACCAACATCGAAAAACCACGGCAAAAATTTGATTTTCCATTCTTGATCTTATTTTGAAGCTGACCCGGAAGCTGTTGAGGCTTTCCCGCACAGTCAGAGTTTTCCAGTTTTTTGAATGATAATGGAGATACCAGAGTTGGAGAAAACTTTTGTTTTGTATCGAGACAGCAAACGGGTCGCTCTGAGAAACCCACAGTTGGACCAAACTGTGCAGTTAGCGCGTTGGCGATCTCACCACAAGCCATACCACTCATCCTTCTCTCTATAATAAAGTCGGCGAAACTATTTAAGGCCATTTGAAAACTTATTAAAGTAGAAAAAAAGACAAATTAGTTAGCCACTGTAACAGCTGACGTCTTCTCACAAAGTAGAGTGACTTCGGCCGCTTAGTGGCATAGTGGTAGGCATGGTTAACAGCTTCCGGGTCAGCTTCAAAATAAGATCAAGAATGGAAAATCAAATTTTTGCCGTGGTTTTTCGATGTTGGTGTTTCTTGTGTAAATGTGTAATGGAAAAACGGATTATGACCTGTTTTTCGTTATCCGTTTTTTAATTTTAAAACACAAAATCGAAAAACGGATTAAATTCTCGTTTTCTACATTTTATTTTGAAAACGGAAAACGGGAAACGGCCAATATTCGTTTTTTGTATTTTCTTTCCTAATCAAAAATAGAATGGCCGCGACGTACACGGACCATATGTACTACATTTGTTTTATATTTGGTCCCGCCTAAAACCACCAAAATCATCAGAGTCATCAATCAGTCTTCAAATCATCGGTTTCTCTGGGATCTTAACCTTAATAATCTTAATATTTGGACAGAAGAAAAAAACCAAACATATTGCTTTTCGTTTCAATTGCAGTTTGTTTCATGACCTGCTCTGGGGAGATCTCAAACATGCAAATAAGCCCAGGAATTTACAAGAACTGGAGGATTATTGCAAAAAAGAATGGGCTTTACCATCATAGAGGATAAAGAACCTCATCCACTACAAAAGACTTGTCATGGGAAATACTGATTATTGGCTTGACACATCCACTAAGAATGGGTGACAACAAAAGTTTTGGGTTATCAATTATAACCTCGAAAATAAGAAAAATAAATGCTGCCAAAGTAAATATTTCTGCCTTGGTATGTAACCCTTCAAGCACAACTGTATAAAAAGACAGAACCAAATCAAATCCCTGCCGTGTTCTTGTACTGTATATTACGTTACAATGTCTGGGTTATTTTTCTTGCACAGTATCAGTTCAACCCTGAGTGTGTTACAGATGTGCATAAACATGATCCTGCATTTATCAGAATGCAGCAGTTAGAGAAAAAGCCTTGGGACGTCCCGCCGGCATTGGGAAACCTCTCACTACAGGACGCATCGGGATCCTCAGGGGGGTGCCTTGTTAATTAAAGCCGGAGTTGTTTATCAGCAGCACGGAACTGTACAGTGTAGTGTGCTATCATCGTCAGCCTGGGGAAAGTGGGAAAACACAAGAGCCAGATTTGCTGCAAGCCCAGCAACAAATGTGCTTTCTCACCAAGAGCAGAAGGAGAGAGGAAAGATGTCTTACTACAGCAGAGCGGAGTCAGGTGTCAGGCTCGGTTAGCGCTGTGTTACTCAGCCACAATCAGATAGTGTTCGGCAGGCAAACATGGCCGACCTCAGGAGAAGGGTTATCGGTGTCGCTGTGTCAAATAATACGCAAACTTTTATCCTCGACATTAGACAGCGAATACTTCAATCCCTAACTTCAATCTTGCTTCAGATATCAAAGTTATTTTAAATTGATTTTTCACAGTAGGTAAATATTACTTGTTTATTGTTAGTTTATTCACAGCTTGGTCATATCACTCAGGGCCTTCTTTGATTTCAGCTGTCTCTGTTCAAGTACGCCGCACTTTTGATATTTTGAACATGTACAGTGTCCAAAATATTGGGCGGTGCAGTTGCTGAGTGGGTAGCAACGCTTCGCTTCTCGGCAAGAAGGTTCTGAGTTCGAATCCCAAACAGAGCAGGACCTTTCTGATATATGTACAAGTTGAAATCACAGCCAAACTTTATTGCAATCAATTGAGTTCACATCGCAACATCAAGGTAAGAATGAACTCGAGGAATTCAAGTGAAGTTAATGTGCAATTTATTAATTAAGATTTAAGAATAAGATTATATGAAATGAAAAGTAAAAATGACATTTTAAGATCTAGTTGGTTAGCCTTTGCCCATGGTAATGACGTAGACCAAGACAGAGGGAAGTTTTTGTTTATTTTTCTACTTTGGATGTAGATGTGTTTTGACAAATTATCTAACCCAGGCCTTTTTTATTGAGATATTATTATTATTATGATCATTTTTGTTATTATTTTATTCTATTTACTAGGGCTGGGACAACGCAAAAAATACACCGACGTATAATATGCGCGTCGGTGCGTCGCACACAAAACAAAGATGGCGGCGAGCGGTAGCAATGCGAGTGCCGTGTTAGAGAAGTGCAAGCCGGTGTAACCAAGCCCCGGCGATTCAAGATGGCGCCCTATTCAAATGAATGGTTGTGCTCAGTGGCGCTTTGTGACGGCATGGGGGCTGAAAAGATTAGCGGAAGTTGCCTGAAACTCGCAAAGAACTTTGGGAAACTCGCCTGTATTTGGGCATCGTCTGGTCCTCCCGGTTCTGCGCGGTGGATGATCTCCCATAATGCGTTGCGTCAAACACGCGTGTGCGGGTCTCACACCGGGTCTCACGCACGTGCACAGAGGGGCTCGGCCGCGCTCTGACCAATCAGAGCAGTTCATCAGAGCGGGAGTTAGAGCGAGAGCCAGAGGAGCAGAGTTTGTGGCACTAAAGTGTGGATTTAAACAAAACCGAAGGATTTAAGAAGAAAAAAAGTTCAGGATGACAAGGGACACTAAAATCCCCACAAAATCCGATCTTTATTAAAGCTGTAGGTTCTCTGTCAGCTGAGGTCGAGCTGTTTTAATATGCATTGAGTCCTATGGGGAAAATTTCTGGGTAGCCCACGTGAATTTAGTCTGGTTCAGTCTGCAGTACCGCGAGAATCCCCTGAGCACGTGAGTTATTCAGCTACAAGCTAGTAATACCCTATCCAGTTAATATAATACATCCATGGGTGTAACGCCGAGATACACTGTCTTGAAGAGATGCACAGCCTCAGCTGTTTATGATGTAATGCAAACCTGCGCATGCGCGTCTCACGGCAGCCGAAGCATACCAAGATGGCGGACCGTGAATTTCTTTAAAAGTTAAAATACGAACAAATTCAGACACGAATGTCACTTTTAATGCAATTTGAGGCGAGATGTTGATGGTTCCGTTTTGTCACATGTGGGTTTTAAGAGTCAAAGTTTGGTGCAAAGTTTAGTTTAAGCAGTCAACTGCGCGTGTGAAACCACAAAGCTAATGTTTTCATAGCAGTCCGCGGCTGCTGACGTAGGCTGATGACGCGTCCTGTGGCAACTCTACAGCTTACAACTGGTCTGTCTTTCTTTGTATCAAACGGAATATTGGCGCCCGTAATAGCCCGTACATGTATTATTCACTGTCATGCCCGCCGTATATGGACATTTTTCAACATGTGTTCAATATCCTTAATGTGTTTAACTGTTGATCGATTCTCTGATCTGTGTTGGTGACTTCAATGTTGTTTTAAGTCCTCTGAGATGACTTCTACTGTATTCTTTCAGTAACTCTAAAAGAAAGGATGACTGGTTGACCTTTTTATTTGCTACACAATGCATTGTTTTTCTCTTGTACACTCTTACTTGAATTTTATTTTTGAATTTTGAGTTTAAGAAAAAGGTGAGTGGCAGAGTTTTGACTGTTATTTTTATATGAATGAAGAATTTAAGAGATGCACTTTAATTAATGGACTTCAGTAATATAGGCCTATGTGTCTTCAACTTAAATGTTAAACTCTGTTGGTTCAGGAAGGACGCCATGACAGGCTGACGGCTCCCACTGTTTTTGCTGGAAAAGCACTCTTTGTTTAGCTTAAAGCCTTCAAGTTTACATTGGTTACTGTTTTCTTTTAGTTGCTCTACACAAGTATTTGGCTGAACTTTTTCATGTTTTTATTGAATGCTAAGCATCAAATGTTTGTTTCAAGAATGATAAGATGCACTTTTTTCAGTAAGCTGTGTTTTCAAGGCTTTAAGGTTTTATGCTACCTCTAAGAATGTCTTATTTTTGAATTTTAAGAGCAAGCAATAAATATATTTTGTGAAGGAATTCATGTTTTTTTCATTAAAATATTTAAATCGACATGTATACATCAATATTAGTCAATTAATGGGGAGATAATCGAGAATCGAATCGAATCAAAATCGAATCGAAGCGAAAAAAATAATCGTTAGATTAATCGATGCATCAAAAAAATAATCGCTAGATTAATCGTTTAAAAAATAATTGTTTATCCCAGCCCTACTATTTACTTTTCTTGTTTGGCACAATGGGTGAAAAAAAGAAAGAAGGGTGTCTAGTATGGTATTTGAAATTTGCTTTGATCATGTCGAGATGTACTGCGCAAAGACACAATAAA